GAATCTGAAAGAAATTCTAGCATGTCTTGATGAATATATAGAGTACTCATTTAACTACGTGATGGTAAAAACCGCAGCTCTCTAGCTCTTTCCATTCTTGAGTTATTCCAAAAATACCCACGACCACTATTTTTTTGAACAGGCATTAGTTAGTCAAACACGCTCATTGTAAATATTTTTTTATGAGATGTTTTTTCTTTTCATTTGTAATGTCATTTGGTAGATGTGTTAAAGAAGAAAATGTTCAAACAGCAATCATTGATTTCAATGATTGGGCAAGTCAAGATATAAGTTTATATGAGGATGTAGAATTCGTTGAAATTCAATGAACTGTTGGACCTACACTTATCAATGATAATATTAGTAAAGAAATTATTATTCATTATGATACTGATATTCAAAGTCAATTAAAATATTATACGAATGCAAATGGACGTGAAGTTCTTGAAAGACAAAGAGATTATCGACCAACATGGAATTATACAATTGTTGAAATATGAAATGGAAATGATTATTCAATTAATAGTTGAATATGGATTAAATAACAAAATCATCAATTAAATGTTCTTATTTATAAGAACCAATGACCTTGTCCTATAATATTAAGTTAGAATATATCATCAAAATCAAAAACTCGCATAGTCAATTGTTTGACTTCAGTAATAATGATACATTACGGCTATTTAGATCTAGAAAAGCATATTAGAAATTCATTTATATTCTTTCTAAGAATATAAAACTTGAATACGTTTAAGTTTTCTAACTTTGGAAAACCAATCTGAATGTAGAAACGTTAAAGCTCTTAGGCACTTTGTTCATTATATGAACTAACAAGCAGTTATATTTTATAATTTTTAACATCTTCTATTAAATTGTGTTTAACTTCGATAAAAAGAATTTCTTTGTTATGTTTTGTATAATCTTTAATCACTCTTTCTTGTCTTTGACTGCGCAACCTATCTTGAAAAAAAATTGAATCAATTAGAAATAGATAATATCACTTCTGTATTAGTTAGGTTATGTATTGATTTCAACGCAATTTTTTTTTATATAAACGTGTATGATCAGTCAAGTGAAAAATAATCATTGTGATTCATTTCTTTTATGCAAAATGTTGCAATTCTGGATAGTTGTTAAAATCTTTTGCAAGATGACGATCATCTCATTCATTAAATCTATGAATATTTTGTTGTTTCTAATTCACAAACTATTGTTCAGAATGTATAGTAATAGTATTCATAATAGTTCAGTTAAAATCACAGTTCATCGTTATTTACTCCAATTTGAGACACGTGATGTCCGTGAATTTTTGAATGAAATTGTATATGGTGAAAGTCTTGTCGTTCATGGTCGACATTTTCTTATTGTTGAACGAGTTGCTTCGAATTCTTGATATCTTCGTGTTGCTTCTCAATGTTTATATATGTAATCAATTGGTAACTCTTAATTAACTCAACAAACTCTAATAATTATTCAGCTGCTTATGGTTGAACATGGTCAGTCTTAACAGATTCATTACTATTAAATGTGCATTAATTCACATTAGATCAATTAAGATTAAGCAAGTATTTTATTCGTATTGAATATTATTTTGACTTATTAGAAGATGATACATATTCAAAGCCAGTTACATTTGATTTACAATCATTATTTGAATCTATAAAAGCAAGTAACAGTACAATTGAATTAAAGCTTAGTGCTAATTTACTATTAACTGATATGCAACGACTTAATTAGATAACTGGAGATGAAAAATTATTTCCAATGAAAATGCCTAGTAAATTTTTTACACAGTAAATCTTTTCTTATGAACATATTTTATTCTCTTGTTTTTTGTAAGAAAGAAAGATCATTAAAAGATACAAATATGATTTTGAATTCAATCAAAAGTGGAACATTTCATGTAATGTTAGTACAAATAATGATCAATGTAACATTTGATTATTTTTTATTTACACGATTTTCATTTTTAATATATACATTTTTATTAAATATCAAAGAAAACATAAATAAATATATATATGTGTTTGATTTGTCTGGATAGGACGAAACAAGAAAAGAAAACAACAATCAGAACAAAAAAAAAAGAAAACTTTTAATTATACCTTTTTATTGTTAATGATGATCAATTTGTCGAATAAAAAGAATAAGACCAAGAGTCAAATAAATAAATAGAGCAATCACATATGTTGCCAATGACCAAGATAATGAACGACGTGAATGTATTAATGCTTGTTCATAATATCCATCACGTTCACAATGTAAAGATTTAACACCATAATAAACTGCAACAATACCTGCATAAAGTAATTTTTTTTAAATATAGTTTTAAAAAAGATAGAATTCATATAAAAACTCTTTGTCATTAATCCTCGCTTACCGGTGACAAAAAATAATAAAGATGAAATAATTGCACAAACCAAGTGCCTTTTGGGATGAGCCTTTCTAGAAGTATATGATTGAAATGGACTGTGTAATGATGCATCTATATATATATATATAATTATTAAAATAAGATTTATTGAAATAACTAATCATTTTATAAAACATGTCATACCCAATGTCGTACCACCACGTTCACCAACTAAGGATGGAGCTGATGATGACCATCGACATGGTGATAATTTTTGATGAGAATGAAGGGCTGAAAAAGCTCTTGATGAAAACATAATTAATGTTCACAATAATGTTAAACAAGTGTTTTGTTTTTCTTATTTATTACAATGATAATCTCATTCCTAAAAATACATCTTAGATTATTATAAACAATACAAATCCTAATATTTTCAAAGATGTCAAGAAAGATAATTCATAACTGGAAAAAAAGCATTAAAATTATGAAAAAAGAAGTTTGAACAGGTTTTCTTTCCTATCAATAAGCACTTATGTTAATTAGTTGTATTCTGTTTACAGAAGAAAACTACATTTTACTACAATCATATTGTACTTATCGTGTATATTAAGTGATGACTTCTGAAGTATGCCAAACTATTCTATCTTTCACCACCACCACCATCATCATCATCATCTTCTTTTTCTTCAAAAAAAAAGAACTCATCGGGTACATCCTTCTTCTAAATAATACTTATTAATTATAAATTGACATAATAAAACTTCTGTCAATTTCGTCAAGACATCATTATAATATTTAATCAATATAAATTAAAAACTCAATAAAATGACAAATCAAATGAAAATTTTCATTCATTATTCGTTTAGAAAACTGACAATAATAATACCAAAAAAACAGAAAAAAAAAGAAGAAGAAGAAAGACAAAGAAGAAAGGAATCAAAAAAGGAAAAAAAGACTGAGAATGCGTACGGAAGTCGTTCGTTCGCTTGCCTGAGATGTTCACAATCAATTATTCTATATGCAAGAGTATGTGCACACCAAAGTGATATAGTATAAAGAAAAAAGAATGTGACACAAAGAAGAAGAAAAAAAGAAAAAGATGACTTTGTGAGGTTATTTTCAAAACACGCATAGAAATCTCCTTATAAAAAAAATGGGAAATTCATTTCTGATTAGGAATTAGCAAAAGTTTTTTTCTTTTTACATCGTAATCAAGAAGATGTATTACTGAAAATAGTAAGAAAAACAAGAGCGACAATGAATATTTTACGATATGAGATTTATCTATAGAGAGTCATTTTAGAATATACACTAATAATAATATTCTATGTTGCATGTTTAATGTATTCTCTCATGTAAAATCACATGAGATCTAGATGGCATAACTCATAGTTAAAAGCCCATTAGTAACAACAAGCAATGTTTCTATTGCATCAAGAATGATTATTAACATCAACTAAATTCCTTCCTATTATATCTCAAGCTGTAGTTAAGATAGCAAAATAAGATTTTGTTATTATTGTCGTGGTGTGATTTCTTATTAAAGAAATAAAAAGGTCATTTTATTTGACACTGTAGTAAATAGCATAGTTATTAACTGCAATAGTATCCTCATTTCTTTTTGTCTCTTTATATTCTTTTCAATGGAAAGGGAAATATCATCAAGCAGTAGTATATAATTATGCATTCAAACTTCTCTAATTACTAAATATCTTGAAGAAACAAAAGAACGAACTTTTCCTTACTTGTAAATGGTAATAATTATGTAGGATAAAAATAATCATAATCTTTTAAAGTTTGTTGTCATTCTTTATACAATAAATATATATGTATGCATATATATATATATACACAAGAATATATGATCTCAATCTCCAACCAATTGTTGTTGTTTTTTTCTCTTTAGAGTCTCTACTAGTTAAAGATAGTTTTTTCTTTTCTCTCCCTCTCTGTCCCATTATTTCATCCATCCTCCTTCGTTTCCGCTTTTCTATTAGTAAAGATGAACGCAAGCGATAAAAGTGAATAATGCAAACGCATATAGCTGCCTCCTGCATAAGAAAACATCATCAGGACCTATTTGTGCACAGTTGTTCTTTACGTTTTTTGGAACTTAGTATTGTTGATACTATCGTACATAAAGATTCTTGCAAACCAATAGTTTAATGTTAATTTGTTAGTCGAGCCGAAGAAAAATAAAGGAAGATTGCTGAAGCAAAATAAAAGAGAAGACAAAAGAGAAAAATCTGACGATGTTTGCGTGTATGAACACAGAACAAGTTAATTTCATATTTGTGCTCACAGAACAGCAGACATGCAAAGTCTCACGACAAAGAGACTTATGAATATGACAATTGTTCATAGACATATACAGAATTGAAGAAAAGAGATAAGACGTTGATTCCCAAAAGATTTATTAAACGAATAAAACGACTCAAACTAGATGAGAATAAACAAAAACAAAAATTTATTGTATCGATTGACATTAGTTTAGTAAATAATGACACTCGATGTATGCTAAAAGGAAAGAGATTTTAATTATTTTCATTTATTATCCGTGGATATGCAATAGAAAAAGAAGAAGGACAAAAATAATGCTTTTCAATTATGCTGGAATAAATTTCTGTTTTGAGAAAAAGTGTCACGCATATATGCGTGATATGTTACTTTTTTGTTGTATCTACGACGGACAAAAATATATATCTTAGAATAGGATTTAAATATTTTGATATGCTTATTAGATGAATTAGAGTTTCTTTTTGATGTTAAATGATGCGAAAAAAAACTAGATCAAATTGATTCATTTTATCTAATATAGTTACTTTCAAGACTTCCTATAGTAATAATAGATTATGCACTTCTTATCTTTTATTTTTATTGTTAATAAGAAAAAATTTTATTCAATGGTTAGTAGTTACAATCTATTAATTGTAGTTTTCTATGAATTGTCGCTAAAATAAACATTGTAGTTGTAATGATTCCCAAATGGATTTTTCTGCTTCTAGCCATTCACTTGATTGATAGGTATTGTTAGAAGTAAAATCTAAGAATCTTTAGAATTTAATTGTGAATAAATACAATTTAACTTGATCTGTCATGATATTTATCGAATAATGTAGTGCTTCAAAACAATAACAACTAGATTGCTTTCGAAAATCAATTTAACACGTCATTGATAGTGACACAAGAACAACTACAGTAATAATTCAATAATAAATTCAATGATCTCTTCAATCTCATAGATCGATTAATATTCTTACTGAATAAACTGTAGAGATAGATATCAGACACAATATATTTATCTGATCTTAAGAAAAAAGAGAAAGGTTTCCCATATGGAAATCCTTACTAAGCAGATGTTTGAGTATTTGACAGATATTTATTGAATATAGTTGATAGGTGTCAATTGATGATCAACGATTGATTACATTAATTGATGGCATTATGATATTAACGTAAAAAAAAAACAGAGTATTAGAAAATGATTTTTGTTTTTTAATTCTTAAATGAGAAAACGAAATAGAAAGATCGAATAAATCGTTTAAAGAATGTGTTGAATAAAAACATAACGGCGTTAATCTAATGGAAATCAACATTTATTTTAGATTATTTATTATTCTAACGATATTCAATATTTGCTTGTGTTAATCTTAGATCTTTAATAAAGAGAAAACAAAGAGAGCCAAAATAAAAAAAACAAATTTCTATTACTTCGACTGAGTTTATTCTGCTTTTTTTTCCAAATAATCTTATTGAAAGTTTATATAAGAAAGTTTTGATTTAAATTATCGATTGATAAGATCATTATTTTTCTTTATTTGAAATCAAATAAACATACGAATCTATTTAAATAAAGGGCTTTAGTGAAACATAAATACATCTCATGTGTCATAATAATTCATTGAATGATTACATTTCTCTTTATTTTATTAAGATCTTAACTTATGAAATAATGTTTCATTCAAATATCTTTTAATCACAAAAAAAAAGAAAATGACTAATAATAAAATACAATGACAGTTAGTTTTTATCATAAATTTTATTTTCGGACACGCTCGTTATAGATACGTTCTGAAAGAAGAAAAACAATGGCAAATATAATGAAAAATAAATTTTATCTTTTATTTCTACCGTTGGTTTTAAAACATTACTAATGCTTGTTGTTATAACAGATGATGATAATGACGCTAAAAGTATATTTCTTTTTTTTTTCTTTGTGTATAAAACATTTAATTACATACTATTACTATCTACAATTTCTTTTTCAAATGTCATTATGGTACAAATAATTAATGAAATTATTCCAAGTATCATTAATGCCTAAATAACTAATTTATTGATTTATTAAAAATAAAAGAAAAATCTTCATACTTTTGTTTTGAGAATATCTATTCCATTGGGCATAACATTAAGAGTAATTATTGCAGGAAGTATATAACAAATTAATTGTCCACTTGTTGCGCCTGTTAATGCTAATGCAAATTCAAGATTTGGTATACATATTGCAATAAATGTCGGTAGAAAAACGACAATTCCTGTAAATATTATAAATAATCGTCGAGGCATAATATGACGTTCACCGAAAAGAGATTGTTGTTTCTAGAAAAAAAGAAAAAAAAACAAATTAACAGATCTATTCAATATGAGAAAAATTAATATTTACTTGATCATTCCATAATGTAAATAAACTTCCGCGTGTAGGATTAACCATAAATGGAATACCAGTCGTACAATTAAGTATGAAACCCCATAAGAATATTTGTTGAAATAAATTTTTTGGAAATATTTGCATTATATTTCCGGGAATAAATTCATAGATTGAAAAAAAAGCTAAATAACCAAAAAGACCAGTCTAGAAGAAAAAAAACAATGTATGGTGTTTTTTTTCAATGAATAAAGAAGATTAATTTTATCTTACAATAAAATAAATAAATCCGACAAGTATAACTGATAAATCAATAATATCATTCATAGCATGTGATGTTGACTCAGATAATTCAGAAAAAACGACGAATAACATTCTGAAATTTTAAATTCAAATAGTTTTTTCGCGAGTGACTTTTTTTTTTATAATATATTTCATCATGAGTTGGAACATTTATGATTTAAGAAATTTTTTACTAGTAAAAAGCACACATCATTTGATAATATCAAGTCTGACATATTCATGTTGTATGATTATTTCGTTAATATTGATTTAGACTTATACATACTCCCAAAAATATTCAAATATTTCTTTTTTAAACATCTTTTAAACAACTATCTTCATTCAAGTTACCTAACTAAAATATCAAATCAAACTATCATTTAGATTACACATAAAAACTCAAAGAAAATTATAGCATCATCAGTATATGATAGGGGTCAATCCGATCTTTTTAGGAGCGCCATTTTTTCTGCATTGTGTCTGGACCAGGATCAATAATTTTTGTATTGGAGACTACAACTTCTATAGTTGTGTAAAAATTGCGTTGAATGTGATATTGTCACAACTGACAATCGATTTCTTTTATCGACCAAAATTGAGCTTGTTCATTTCAACATTACAAATTGATCATAAATATCTCACAAGAATTATCGCATTCAACGCAGCTTATGGTAAAAAGAGTTAGGGCCATCTCTTTTCTTCGTATATAGAAACTTTTGTATGGCTGAATTCAATTGTTTAACAAAACATAAAAGAAAAAAAAATACATCGATCTTTATCAACATGTTTTTGATTTCAATTCTTTTTCCAATAAAGATCGGAAATACTTATCTGAACTCCATCAGAAGTTATACTATGTTTGTTCTGACTATCAACATTTCCAAACTAATTTTTCAAGAATATATCAAATCTCTTTATACAGAATGCTTAACATATGCAGTTCTTTACAAAGATGGCAACTCGAACTGAGACTTCGAATTAATTTCGGAGTTGATGCTTTTTCTCATCAAAGTTGGATTGAAATTAATGAAGATCTACAGTGAAGTTCGAGATGGCCATTTCTGCTTTTTTCATGCTATGGTTAAACTTTCGAAATTCCAATAAACTAAAACTAGTAAACTTTCATCAATTAATATCCTTACGTTTGACATGAAAATGAGAGTGATACAATTGGTAAACTAATAAATAATCCACTCCATCTCCAATAAACAAGTTTATTCATATTGAATGATATCTTCTTTGAATTTAGCCATAGTTGAGCAAACGTCTACAAGAAACAACAAAACGAATATAACATTTACCTATTTAATTATAGTCTATAATTACATATATGCCAAAAAGAAAATAGAATAAAATCGATTGAATCGATATTGGTGTTAAATGATCAAATCTTTCCGATAAACTTATTGGAAATGAAACCGTACATGTCAATATTAACATAACTAAAGCTCTTATTAATGGTGAATTCTAAACTGAAAAAAAGATTATGAATAAATTAGATAAAACTTAATTCGAATTCACCGTTATATTAAATGCTTGTGAAACAACTACTGAACCAAGATCACCAATAATCATTTGATAAGCTACAATGGAACCGAATAGAAGGCCAATGGAACTAAAATTTTAAAAAAACAATATTTAATTTTGCTTAACTTTGTTTTTAAAATAAAATTACCTTAGTTCCACAATTAATTTCATTGAACGTCCTATTATCTTTTTAAAACTAATTAAATTCATTCAAATAAAATTTGATGTTTTATTCTTACCCATCGCTCGTAAACCTAAATATTCATAGGTTGTTGAGTTCGTTGTTTGAGCACTTGCAATAAGAATTTTACATGAATATGATGTAATTAGTGCAGAAATAATTATTAATAAGGTTGCTAAAATAATCCCACACTAACAATAAAAAATTAGAATTTTTATTTTTGCTTAATAATTAATAAACTGAAATTTCAATTACTTGTTGAAAACAATATGCCATTGAGAGAACAGATGCACCAACAATAGCATTTGATAAACTTAATACACTTTTTTGTGGAAAACTCGGTTGTAAAAATTTACTAAAGCTCAATTGCATTATAAATCTAGAGATAAAAATAAAATGATAAAAAATAGAATATTGCATATTTAATTAATGAAGAGATATTTTTATAAATTACATGAAAATTTTTTGTTCTAATGACAAGATTTTAAGCTTTTGAAATTAATAATTAGACTTAATGTGAATAAAGACAGCACTATGAAAAAAAAAAGCTTTCCGACTTGAAAATGCATCCCTCATATTCTAATTTTTCGTAAATAAATTTTCCGAACACGTTTCTCGTTCTCAACAACAACAAGAAAATGAAACTACACTTTGAAAATTTGATATCTATAGTCCTGAAGAAATAAAGTAATGACAATGTACAAAAAAAAAGAGAAAAAAAAGCAAAATTATACATCACTGCTGATAATCGCATATGATCTATCTAATCCAGAAAAAAAAATCATACACACATATAAGAATAATTGTTCTTTCACTTCTAAGTTTATTATTATTCACTTATTATTGTGTAACATCACGAAAAGCAATTGAATATGGTTGCATTTGTTTTAAGAAAACATTTAACATATCAGTTAATGCTTTTGATTTAATATGTTCAGCTGCATCAGGTATTTGTGTTATAAGTTCTTTTAATTTATTTGATGTTTCTGTTTCCATACAACGTCCAAGACATTCTTGTAAAGCAATTAAATCTAAACATGCTTGCATACTACCGGCTTTACTAAATTGATTTATATTTGAATATAATTTTGCTAATTCATTAACTAATGTTGATAATATACGTGATAAAACAATAAATACTAATTGACTACTTATTGAATATATTTCAGCATGTACACGTGCTAAATCAAGTATAATATGTTTAACATAATCTTTAACTGATATAACACGTATATGTGTTGCCCAATCAAATCTTCCAGCATACATACGAGACTCTAAACGATGTAAAAATGGTCGAAGATATTCATTTTGTACTGTATCTAATAATTGTTCATCAACACGTTTATATATAATTTCAGTTTCATCATAAACACGATCCATACCACGAAAACCATAATTAAGAAAAATTTTTTTTAAACGTGGAAGTATAAAACGACGTGTATAAGCAAAATTATTTAATATTATTATTAAACACATTGTTTTAGATAAATGTTCAGATGAATTTATCATTATTGTTGATGATGATAATGGTTCAATGGAATTTGATGATGATGATGAACAATCTTTTATTAACATTTGAAATACAGATGCAAAATCACCTAATAAACGATAAACAGCTATAGCTGCTTGTTTTGTCGCTTCTTTATCTTCAAAAAACTTTAAAAACAAATATTGATTTTTTGTATTATTGAGATAGATCAATACATATATATATACTAACTTTTCGTTCACCTTTTGCTACATTAACAGAAAGAACATTTTCTTGAATAATATTTGTTTTCGTGACAATCATATCATGAAATAAATTTGGTAATTTTGTATGTGAACCAAGTTGTTCATCATATTCTAATTCCCATGTTTCTTGAGTATTTAAACGAGATACTTCTACAAAAAAAACAATATGAATAAGTCTCAGAAAATAAATTTGATTTGTTCAAAAGAAAAGCAAACTTTCACGTGTTATCTTCTAGTCTATAAATCGATATTCATTAAAAACTCTTTAGTTTGGCAAAAAGAAAATGACGTCGTAATAAGTATAAAAAAAAAGAAAACTCATCTTGATTATTAACTACACTTAAGATAATCAATTATGTAAAAACTGTATGAATTTAAATGTTACGATCAGATTGACATATGATGCGAAAAGTCATAGCACAAGATATTCGCTCATCTTTCAGCCACTAAAAGACAACTATTTACAGTTAGTTATGATCAGAATTCTTCCCCTGTTTCTGAATATATTGACACATTATCCTTTCGAAATAAGATTGAACAGCTATCCGTAAATTTTCTCAGGAAGTCCAAAATTATGTTTATACGATTTAGGTGCAGTTCTGCATTTTGTGCCTTGGAATCACTTCAAGTTAATATTATTGTAGAGCACTGAGTTCTGTGTAATTTAAGATATTACAATAAGCAAAATCTGACTATAAGAAAATTTAATTCAGTGCTTTGAGAAATAGGCATAGCGTAGTGAATTTAATATAAATAGTATGTAGAAATGAGTGTGCAGTGCTCCATAAAAAGTCTTCATCTCTATAATTCTATGAAGTAACTAAATCATCGAACATTTTTATTGATGATCAATGTTTTGTTAATGCTGTGATCATTTCCAGTTTCATGCAGAAATCCATCCATTATTTCTTTATGACGACAATTAACGATTTCTATGTCAAGATTTTTTTTCTTTGATCAGTTCATTTTTAGAAGTCTCAACACATTTTCCATAGGACTGAGGTCGAACAAAATTGATGGCCAGTCTATCTTTTGGACTTTATGTTTTGATCTAACTGATCTCACACTGTTAGCAGGAGATAGCGCTTATAAATAGTACGTAGCAATTCGGCACCATGATTTTCTCTACAGTATCAGATGCGACCGAAGTCACCACTTGACGAACACCCCTCACACATTGACTTTGATTGAATTTTTGACAGTTCCAAACACCATTTTCTTTTCTGAAAGGTCCCAGCCATGTCGCTTCACTTGTTTTAGATAAATCAAACCTTTCGATTCATTCTGTCAGTTGAGCCAATATAGCACAATGGTGTTCGCACGTGCTACTGTATTCGTAACGACTTTTAAACCAAGGTATAGCTCCGTTCGACGATAAGATAAAAACATGATTTCATAACGCTTATCGATTAAAAGTGTCATATCATATAAGTGAATCACACAGTAAGCTTTAAACGAATAACTACACTATCTGAAGAATTCTGAGAGGTCGAAAACTTATTTGGAATAGTGCTTATCTTATTACTATTATCTATTCTCAAATGCTTCATTGAGTAATTCAAATATTAACACTAAAAGGTAACTATTTAAAGTTTTCTTTGACTTCTAAACGATATTTAAATTAGAATGTCAACCAGCTCACATTTATGCAAGTAAAAAATAGATAATATTGATATAAGGGTAAACGTGTGGCTCTTGTTTTCGCCTATACACCGTCAACCTTATCCACACTCTTCCTAATCCAGCTAACCCACAAAGGTATACACTTCGTTTTTATGCACTTTTTGATGTTAGAATGAATTTCTTGACCTAACTCAATGTTAGACAAGTGTATCCTTTCAATTGAATGTGTATAAATCAGTTTCAATCGTATAATACAGACATTTTATCTGCACTCTAGCAGCAATATTCTTTAGTTTATAACGTTCATTGGATAATGATGTGTAGAAATAAGAATTTATTATACTCTCCTTACGTTTTGTTTTTCTCACAAAACAACTGAAACAACAGCTGACTAATGATTATGATAAAAACATAGAGTACTTTTAGAAATATTCAAAAAACAACCTAATCAATATCGAATATTTTTGTTTACCTAAACACGCATGATCCATAATAACTATAAAACATTCTAAACGTAAATCAAACATAAGTTGTTGTAAATCTTTTTTAAAATCAGCTTGTATATCGAGTGAAACAAGATGTAATACACATAAACTATAAAAAATCAAAATAATAATAAAATTTATTTGAAATTTATTTTTTACCGGCAATTTTGTACACAATGTGGTAATGTTTTAACACGTTGATATGTTTCATCAGCATTTGTATATAAATCATCATCTTGTGATGATGTCGTATCAGATTTTGTCATTGTTGACCGACTTAATAAATTAAGTCGAACAACACTTATAAATGTTTGAATAATATCTTTTGTTAAAGCCTAAAATATAATGATTAATAGTATTAAATTCTTCAATAAATATTTACTAGAAATTCTGGTGCTTTATGCATATAAGTTCGATCAATTTCTTCGGATTTCTATAATAGTTAAGAATATGTATTTTTAGAAAGAAAAATTCATTTTTCATTTACTTCAGATAATGGATAGAGTTTCTTTCTTAAATATAATTGCATTAAGTACCATAAATCAGGAAAAGCTGTTGTAAGTACATCACATGCTTGATCAACCATAGCAGTTGCTTGATCATGAGTGTGAAGTTTTATTTCATGTGCTATATCAACAAATAAAGTAGAACAAAATCAACTAAAAAGTTTGACATCGAACAAAACAATCTTTCAAATCATTTCAGTTGATCTAGACAAAGAAATGAACTATAAATTGAATAAATATATAAGACTGATTCTTCGCATGCCTCATCGATTAATTCCTTATGCCTGTTACATGTTTTTTTTTCTCATTCTGATCTGCGACAAGCTTAGGAAATAATAACATGGCTTTTCCTCAGACAGGCATACACATATAAGCAAACTCGATGGTCTGTTTGTAGAGCTCATCCAGCTTGAATTTTTTGCGACCTAGTCGGATCGTACTTTGATACTCTAAATGAAATGTTCTAATCGGAATTGGATAGTCGCTTCGACGATACGAGATAGTCTTTTTTTTATCTTTGTATTTGGTGACCAGCACATCCAACACATGTCTCAGATGACTAAAGCCCATTGAGTTCAAAATCTTCTGATCAAACCCGATTTCGATACCAACTCGAGGGATGGTAACTCTCTGAATCTCTTTTGAAGTACTGTTTATAACATCGCTAATAGAATGAAGAGAATTTTTTGAATTTAAATTCGCAGCTTGTTGAGCTTTTTCGGACAAAAAAAAAAGATTTACGTTGTTGATGTTGTTGTTTTGGATCAACTGCACATGAACGAAGTACTTCGATAAGTGCTGCTTTTTGATGTATAATACAATCCCATGCAGGATCAGCTCTTGGATCAAGTGAATGTAAATAACGAATAAAAAGTTTTTGATCATCAAGTGATGATGGAAATTCTGTAAGACGTTGTCGAAATAATGTACGTAGATTTTGTATTTGTTGTTCAACTTCTCGTTGAACTAAAACAAGAAAAGAGTTATTGAAACATCTTCTATTTGAATTACATACTATTGCGAAATACTTTTGAATCAACAGTTTCAAATGCTGCACGAGCTCGTACAAGATCATTGATTACTTTTTCATATTCTTCCTATTTTAAAATTAAAGAAAGAAAACAACAATAGTTTTGTTTTATTCTATTTTAATCTTTCAATATACTCGTTTAACACTTCGTTCAATCGTTTGTGGTAAATGAAAAATAAATTTATATCTTTGTATAACATTTAAGGCATTACGTATTATATCTGAATAATCTTTTCGTGCTAAATCTGTATCATACATGGAATGAGCAATACGAGAAATTTCTATAAAAGAAAAAAAAAGCATATATACTTTAGATAAATTCTGAATAAAAAGCAGACCTTCAACTAATTTAATTACTGGTTCATAAAAATTTTTCTTTCGATCATCAGCCGATAAACGTCGAATGTCTAAATACAAAAGCAAAATTAATTCTTTTTTTCTCTTTCAAATAAACAAACCTTTCATTATATCAACAGCTTCCATAAATGATGCTATATTATTTTTAACAAGTGTTGTTGATGCACCTTTATTATCAGCACGAGTTTTTTGAAGATGTTCAAGATTTTGACGTAATTCATCAAATCTATATTTATTCAAATGAATTTTAATTCTTTTATAAAAGAAAAGCAAACATTTTACTTACGTAGCATTTGATTTATGAGCAAGTAAATAATAATATGGATTAAAATTTGGTTGAGTTATATCCGTACTACCTAAAAAGAAGATATACAAGTTTTATATGTTTTGATTTTTTTAAATATTTTCATAATAAATCAAATTATCTCAAAACTAGTAGGAAAGGATCCAATCGTAATAGTTGACATTTTGAAATGTGCTCAAGATGAAAGCCAGAACTCCACGTGGCATGAGACAGTCTCACCCTATCCGATTGGGTGGAATGAAATGGGACAATTCCATCCGATGGGATGGAATGAGATGGGATAGACCCATTCCATGAGATGTATAGTAAAAGACTCACATTCCATGGAACAAAAAGCTACCTATGTAAACATTTTTTATCAGAAAAAATATTAATGTTTTTCATATAGATGGCATTCTTGTCGATTTCAGAATAGAGAATATAAGATTTCATTCTATTCTATAAGTAGTTCTGTACTCAAGCGATGAAAGTCTCGTAAAGTGGATAATAATGTATGAATCCATAAATATATGATGCACTTCTATCGCTTATAATAGATGCAGATTTTAGTAATAACTTATACAACGTCTTTATGATGATTCATTGTCGTTTATTATTCAATGTCAATCTGATCTATCTAAATCTAAGATGGGTGTATGAAAGAAGAGAATACCATACTTCACAAAGAGAAAAACAAAAGGAGAATATAAATCGAAGATAATATAACCTAATTTTTCTATCATATATCATGACAACACAGCTCTTATCGAACTTTTATTATTATGATATTAAGTGAAGAATGATCAAATATCACAGAACAAATAGAGCGCTGTTTTTTTTAATATTACAGATAAAGAGAAAGTTTTCTGAAGCTTTGTATACGAAAGTAAACTATCTCTACCACTACTTTTGAATTGTTCTTAATGGTTTAGTATTTTGCACAATTAATCAGACGGAGAGATGTATGAATAAATTTCACTTTTTTCAAAATCATTTGGCGAATATAATATTCTATAAGATCATAATTTTCTGTCCTACTTGAAGTCTTGATCGCAACGAAAGAAAAACTGTCATACACTTATTATTAAAGGAATAAATTCCAATATGCAAGAGTTGAAATATAGATGATAATGATGAATCAATTTAGACTATATGTAAAATAGCTCGGCGTTTCACTGGAGAAAGAAAAACGAAATGATCATGGTCAAAAATAAAAGTTTATTTTAAATTTCCTCAAAAGTATTATCATTTCATTTTAAAGACTTCTTGTTGGGATAAACTGAAAACAAAAATTTTTAAATTGAAAAGTGGTCATTTTCGAAATATATTGAATACAAATAAAACGACGGTCTAAAGCCAACTTCATCTTATGAAGTTTCATTAAATCTATCAGCGCCAATAGTCTCATTAAACATACAATGACATTCATTATTTCCTATCAAATTTTCGTCTTTATTCTTATCATCTCTTCATCCATCGAATACAATTCATATTTAAAAACATCATTACTAAAATCATTAATTCAACGACGACAATTACTAGATGGTATTGCAAAAAATGATGGTGTTGCACCTAAACCACCAGGTAGTGATAATAGTTTTAATCAAAATGCTATATCACATTTAACACAACAATCAATTATAAAACAAATATTTTCCACAACAGCAATATTGATAAAAAATGATTTAGTCGAAGATCGTTCAATTAAAGATACAAGTTCATCGAATTCTAAATCAAAAGCTAGTCTTATTGCTTCTATTCTAGCACCAACTGGTATTGTAGGTTTGATTGGTTCTATTATTGGTATATTATTTTATAAAAACAATCAAAATAATTCATCAATAAATGATACTAAAGGATTTTTTAGTAAACTTTTTAGTAAAAATTCTAATGCAACTATGGAAAATAAATTAGACGAAAAATATTTACTTGTTGGAAACATTTCATAGAGTTCTTCTGCTGGAGTAACACTACTGAAAGAAAAAAAGAAACTGTTCAATAAATATAATTCTCAAAGACTTTCGAAAAACTTACGAGGCATCCGTAGTTGATCCAGTCACTGTATCACCAGTACCGGGTAAAAAAGCTGGTGCCTTCGATGTATTTAAACCAAATAAAGTTACTGCATCTTCGTCAATCCATACAGCAACTTCTTGAAATTGTCCTTTTAAAAATCAAACAGATTATTTTTTCTTTAAAAAAAAAAAAGAAAAACACTTTTGATTGAATTACCTGCTTGTTCAACTCGTCCATAAAAACCAACTGAACACGAACCAATTCCACCACTTTTTGTTATAACAATAACATCACCTTTACCTTGACCATTTCCAGCATAAGCAACTATTTTATTTGGACTTATCCATGAAGCTGTTGCTCGACAATCATCACCACAAATTTTTAAACCAATAAAATCTTTTTCATCTGTACCCAAATTTTCACCTCGAATAGTTATTTTTATACCTGGACAACCTTCACGAGGTGATATACCAGTAACAAGAGGTGAAGGCATATCGATAGGTTTTCTTTTCTAAATAATATCTAAAAATCATATGTTGATTACATAATAGACGAAAGAAAAATTTTAACAATTTATTAATCGAAATAAAGATGTTAAAACAAGCAGAAGAAAAACATGACGATCTAACGATATGTCAAAGAAGAAAAGTCAAGATGTTTAATTTTTCTAAAAATTTAGAGATAGGTGTATATTAAATTTTTTTCAAGTGAGTATGGTATACCGAGATTTTCTTTGCTTTGTATAATTTTTTTCTCGATAAAAAAAATCAATTATTCAATGCGACAAAAATGGACAGTTTGATCTCAGTACACTTTGAAAATATAGCAGTGATCTTCATTACTGTACTACATATAGTACTCAGTAATGCGTTAAAGTAAGGATTGTATCGAAAGTAAAAAGAATACGAATATTTTCTTAAATTAGGTTGACGTGCACAATCGCTATGTAGACATACATCAACCGAAAGAGCATTTGGAATGGTATAAATCGATTAACCAATCATGTACTTACATAGTAAAGCACTAGAATCGATGTGTAACTTTTCTTATGATTCATCTTTTATGATACTGGGACCAAAGCAATTGTTGGTTTGGTTACTCACATGTCTTTAAGACAAAAATTCGATGATAGAAGCAAAACTTTCTACTCCATTATCTATTCTAATTGGATCATTTAATACTCATAAATATTATCCTCCTACGGATATTAATCTTTCTTCATGGTTAATTTATCAATCTATTACTCCTCATATCATTGCTATAGGTCTTCAAGAGTTACCATTCAGTTATCTATTTCTTCAACAAAAATCTGAATATCAATGGATAAAATTAATTGAAAAAACTCTACCAAATTATAAATTACTTTCTCGTGTTCGATTGAATGGTAAAATATGTTTTTTTTTGTTACTTTCTCGATTTTCTCATTATTTATCATTTGTTTTAAGGAATAATTCTTTTTATTTATATTCAATCATCATATTTTGATCAGTGTTCAGCAATTTCTACTGCTCAAGTTCGAACAGTTAGGTTTTATTGATTTTGATTTAAAAAAACAAAATTATTTTTCTTATTGCAAAGGGTTTTATGAATTTATATGGAAACAAAGGTGGTGTTGGTATTCGATTTGAATTTAATCAAACATCTTTATGTTTTGTAAATTGTCATTTATCAGCCGGTGAAAATTCTCATGCATTTTGTTTACGAAATAAACAATATTCATTAATTCATCAATCTATGTTATTTAAATCTCAATGTAATCGATATCAATGGAATATAAATGATCATAATGCTATATTCTTCTTTGGAGATTTAAATTATCGTCAAACAGAAATAAATCAAGATGAATTAAAAGAAAAAACAAATATATTAAAAACATATTCAGAATCAGATATTAAATTTCCACCAACATATAAATATAAACTTAATTCAAATTCATATAATGTCTTACGACGTTCATCATGGACAGATAGAATATTATATCGAAGTAATCAATGCCATATACAATCAATTAATTATTGGACGACATCGATGATTAAATTTAGTGATCATCGACCTATTGCTAATCTATTCTTATTATTACGTTTAATTCGTTAATAAAAGAATTCGAATATATGTGTATATATATATCTATATATTTCTTTTTACTTTCTATTATAGATGGCTTTGTTAAATCGTTTATGGACATATTTTAGTGGTGATACAAAACAATTACATAAACAAGCTGATGCATTTAAAATTGGAATACTTGGTGCAGCTAATATTTGTAATATGGCTTTAATTAATCCAGCAAGTAAATTATCAAATATTTTAATCTATGGTATTGCAGCTAGAGATCGACAAAGAGCTGAAGCATTTGCAAGAAAACATCATATACCAAAAGTAAAATTCGATTCAAAGTGGGTGTGCTAGAATTAATATTCCCTGAAATACTTCGTCAAAGTTCATCACCCTGCCTTGATGGTTTTTTCTTGTAAGAGCCACGATTCAATTTTCTACAAGAACTTATTACAAATTTTACTACTTAAAAATATTAAGCTAAGTACTTAGATACTGCGAAACTGTAATATGATCAACTTTAGTATATTTGTTGAAGCTTTAAGCAAAGAAAACAAAAACTAATGGATAAAAATCTTGCAGCACTCATAATGCTCTATCTGATCATTAGGATAGTAAAATTTTTCTATCAATATTTACCATGTCAATGAATTATTTCTTGTTCCAAACTGTAGCTCAGCAAGTGATTCACGGAGACTCTCATGAAAATTCGCATTAATATAACTCAATTTTATTTCAATTTCAAGAGAGCTGATTGGCGCATCAAGCTAAAATGGGAGAATTTGAACAGAGGCTCTTCATTCAGGTATATTGCACAAAATAAGCAAAGTTTTACGTGTTTTTAGCTTCGTTTTGGTAAAATAATATTTGTGTCAATAACATCACAACCTAATTGAAACGAACTTCAGTGTGCATCATGAGAAAGAAAGCACTTATGAGAAAAATACTCGAACCGATGCCCATCGTTTGAACTCATATCGATTCACAAGGCGATCTTGATAAAAAGTAAAAAAATTATAAAAGGGTTCGCGTTGATTAGTTTCTGAAGTCGAGTTATGACCATTTTCTTGAATTCTCGATTCAGCTTTAAGTATCTACCGAAAAACCAAATAATGCAATTTCGACAGAAAATTTGCCAAAAAAAAGGATCTAATCATCCATTGAATATCCTGAATCTATGAGTAAAACCTCATGTCAAAATTCTGTTCTTTGATTGTTTAGGGTATATCTGAAGCTGGATAGAAGGTTCAGTAAAATGGTGATGATTCGGTTCAAAAGATCTGTGAGAATGAATTCTTTTAGGATTTTTCATGTCTTATCGAAACTCTCTTGTGAGTCTGATACAAACTTCAACAGTAATTATCAGTTCGGGTAGTTCTCTCGTTAGTGAAAAAACCTAATGCGTTGCTCTGAAACGAAAACAACCTTTAAAAACTGGACATGTTGTACTCTTGCTATATTATTTATTTAATATTTTTGGACAATATTTTGCAGCATAGCTTGTAGTACGTTGCTGAAGAAAATTGGATCATGAATCTTTGTATGAAAATAAAAAGATCAAGATATAATGATAAAACTTGACGAAATACTTTGAAACACAATTATTCTAGCAGCACTGTTCGATGTTTTTTCTATTTAAGCAAAATATTATTTTTTTCATTTTTAGGTTTATGATAATTATGATGAATTATTAGCTGATCCCGATATAACTATGATTTATAATCCATTACCAAATGGTCTTCACTATCAATGGACAATGAAAGCTTTACGTGCCGGTAAACATGTACTTTGTGAAAAACCATTATCGAATAATGCTGATGAAGCACGTGAAATGGTTGAAGAAGCTAATAAACAAAATCGATTACTTGTGGAAGCATTTCATTATAGGTATCATCCAATGTGTAATGAAACATTGAAAAATATTATTTCGAATAAAGATCAAATTGGTTCTATTCAGAATATCTCGGGTGTTTTTACTGTTCCATCTTCGGTGCTTAAAAATAATGATATTCGATTTCAATATTCTCTTGGTGGTGGAACTCAAATGGATCTTGGTTGTTATTTAGTATCAATGTGTCGTTTTATTGTTAATACCTACAATAATCGTAATGATAATGATTCTGAAGGGGCATTTGAAGTTCAAAAAGCTGAATCTTTACGAATATCTTCAACAAATCCTCAAATTGATTATGGAATGAGAAGTGAATTACTATTGGATGGTATCAAATGTAATATTTATTGTGAATTTACGAATAATTGGTCATTTTTTAAACACGAAATTATAATTGAATGTGAACATGCAATAATAAAAGTTTATAATCTTATTGCACCTTTTGTTTATCATTATTTAACTATACAAGAACGAAAAACTAATCAAACACGCACAATAAAAAATTATAGTGATAATCAATCAACTTATTATTATCAATTAAAAGCATTTATAGAAGCTGTTAAAATTGTTCAAGATGAAGGTTCACTTGATAAAGCATATGAAATAGTATATACAACTGGTAAAAGTGCTATTCGTAATATGGAAATAATTGATGAAATTTATCGTAAAGCTGGACTTGTCGTACGAGGAACAACAATTTAATTACATAATGTTTTATTTGATAAACGAAGTTTTTCTTTGTATTGATCTATAGAAATTTTTTTTTTGTGTGTTACTATGAAAAAGAAATGATTTTTTTTTATACTAAGAATATTTTGTTTTGGAATCCAATTAATGTTTTGCATGTCATGATTATTAATAGTTGATCGTTTTTTATGATTACTAAATTTGATTGTCGAAATTTCATGTTCATTTGATTTATTTGTTTGAAGATATTTTATATATGAATTACGAATGAGAATTTCATTTGGAAAAATATCAAGAAAATCTTCACGAAGTTTTTCAAATATCATTGGTGCAAAAGAACCAAGTTCTTTAAAATGATGTTTTGGAACTTTGAGAATTAAAAAGCAATAAAACTATTTAATAAAAATGAATATTACTTGAAATTATATCGACTGTACTATGAGTCAGATACCATGAATGAATTGTTGTTGATTCAAATCCAAAATAATGTCCATTTGAAAGAACAAATATTTGAAGAAAACGCCATGTAGTTTTTGGTTTTGAACATTTTTCATCTGTCTAAGAAAACAAAAACATCAATGATTTAAAATTAAGATATTTGATACAGTTTGTTGAGTGATTTTTTCGTTTATCATAGCATTAATATGTCGTTGAGGATTTGACTTTGATGTGATTGCTGGAATATTTAAACCGATTAATGAAGAACGATTACTAATATTCATTGGGGGATTTAATGAACTCGATATTGAATCTTTATCATTACTGGAATGATATTGATCTAAAATATAAAAGTGATCAGATATTAGAGAAATAGTCATTTATGCATTGAAAGAAATTCTAATATGGTATATCACACTATTAATAATAAGAATAATGAATCAAATAAATTATACCTGCTACATTTATCTTTTTAATTTTTGCTTTATTGATCTTTTTGTTATTTAGTTTATGATAAAGTTGACTATATTCTGGATGTTTAATTATTATGGATGGAAAATCAAGTAAACGTACAAAAGAAATTTGACCATGTAGAATAAAATATAAATTCTCATGTTCATATTCTTCATTTCCATAAATGATTTCATCAATTGAATACTGTTTATAATGAGACCATTTTAACTAATAACAAACTTTATTCGAATATATCAAAAAAATAAAATAAAATAAAAGCATTAATAAAAAAACTCACAATAAAATCTAAAATATCATTTCGCCATTGAATACTACTAAATATTGATTGCATTCGAAATTGTTCTAGTAATGATTTTTTCATCATATCAGATAAATAATTTTCATAAGCCTTTTTATTATATTAAAATTTAAAAAAATGCTAAGGAAATATTCATTTATAATTTACTCTAATATCTCTTGAAAAAAATCCTATTAAATTACAATAATTCATGTCATCTGTTATTAAACCATTTAAATGATAATAATTTATTGATTGAAGAGAATCATCTCCGTATACATCACCAATATTTAATCGATGACCAAATATTGTTGTTTGATTCGTTTCGAGTAATAAGATACATTGACATATAATAACAAAGAAAATCTTTATTTTTTAAAACAATAAAAAAACAAATATTTCAACTACCATAAACAATTATATAAACCAGAAATGAAGGAAAATTTTGACGAGTAAGAACTGTACTTGGATGATACGTAAAAAGTAAAAGTGAACGAGCTAAAATTTAAGATGAATTAGTAGTATGAACAAAAAAAAAAAGCATCAATATTAAATTAATCAACCAGCATAATGACGAACATTCGTAGGCAAATGATGAAGACTTTCACAACGGTTCAATAGATGTTCTAGAACTTCAATATCACGTGTAGTACGTTGTCGAGGTGCCTCAAAAATAAAACAAGAAAATTTTGTGAACCATAATCTAAAAAGAGTGTTGAAGTATAGGGATAAACATTTGTATCTTTTCTCCTTAGACTGTAACAGACACCTGACGAACATCTTCCACTGCATCACAGATCATTAGACGGCTGAAGAGTACGCCATTTTGACAATTTATAACATGCCTAGCTGACATTGTGACAATCTGAGCTTGCTCTGATACTTTATTTTATAATGTTTAACATTTTCTGTTTGACACCAGAGAAAGATATAAATTTTTGTATCAGTTTTCTTTTTATGTGATTTTATTCCGTTTGTTTCAACCATACAGCAAATAAACCAAACACTAAATCTCTCGATAATTTCTAACTATCAACACTATTTGGATTTAATGATTGTCTTCTTTTTTTCAGAAATTCAACTTGTTGAATCGAAAACATGTTTCGATATAGCCGAACTTGTAAGAATTCTAAATAAGAGATTATTCCTAAAGATTATTTGCGACTTATCAAATCTTAAACGTGTTATTTATAGCAGAATCAAGAGAAGTTGTGGAAATATAAATGTATACTCGTAGCACCATTCTAACCATAGATCATCGTTTGAACATCA